CTTTGTTCAGCTCCCTTTCTTTCAGTTCCCTTTGGCTTCATTCAGTTTCTTTCAGTTCTCTTCAGCTTCATTCAGCTCCCTTCATCTCTCTTCAGCTCCCTTCAGCTCTCCGCAGCTTCTTTCAGTGTTGTTCAGCTTCCTTCATTTCATTTTTTCTGCTAATTTCAATTTTTGAAGCTCATTTGAGCTTCCTTCTGCCAAATTAAACTTTTTCTGCTTTTTCTGCAAATTTCAACTTTTTTTGTTGGGGTTTTTTTTCAGCTTCTTTTGAGAAATTTCAGCTTTATTTCTGCTCATTTCAGTTTCTTCTTTGCTAATATCATTTTGTTTTGTTATCTATTCATCCTCTCTTTGGCCATTTCAGCTTTTTCTCCACATTTCTGCTGTTGTTCTTTTGCTTTCTGCTTTCATTTTCCTGCTTTCAGCAAATGTTCTGCTCAAATTAAACTCATTAACAGGTTAACGATGAAACCTTTTCAGTCTTTTGCAGCTTTCAGCAAAAATCATTCAGCAATTGGCGTTCACGCTACATTTTCACAGGAAATACAGTTTTCTAGTTAAAATTTAGTTTTTTAACTTTTAATAATATTGGGGGCCAGATGGAGATTGTCAAAGGGCCACTTTTGGCCCTCGGGCCACATGTTGCCCACATCTTTCTTACACTCGTCTTCCTGTAGACCCTGAAGCCACGTGTGGACCGAGCCGTTGGTCCTGGCTGGTACCACCTGAGGCATCTGGGCCGGAGCTCTCGTTCCTCCGTCTGTCGGCTCGAGCGTTCGCGCCTTCGCCGAACGCGGCGACGCTTTAAGCACTCGTTTTATCTCGATGTCTTCTTCATGCCTGCGCGCACACGTGTGCGTTTGTGGCAGCGAGATAATGGGTCGGTTGTGGCCCGGGGGGCAGCTGTGACACCGTTCCAGCTCAACGTGAGGCGGTTTGTCGACACGTCGATGCAGATCTGCAGAAACTGAGCAGCGGTTGTTTAAACGTGCCGGAGCTTAAAATTATAATATTAAATCAATTAAAATGATTAAAACCTTCATTTTTTTCCCCCAAGACGTCGCGTTCAGGCGATTAAAAATATCCTCAACCACAAATTCGGCCGCTGGTTCACGTTTATCATGTTTGATCATCTTTTTGCCTTTTTAAACTCATTTTATTCCACAAATACAGATTGAACAAGTTTGATAATAAGCAGCTTACGAAGAGTCGGATCAGTCGTGGCGGCCATCTTGGATTGAGTTGACTCTACGAAGATGTATGACTGTGAGAAATTCTTTAAAATCAGAGTTTTATGGGTTATTTTGCTAACAGGCAGACACAGCTAAGTTCTGAGCCGAATCGTCTCGTGTGTTGAGCTTAGGTTAAGTTTTATAAATCACTCTCAGCTGCTACCACACCGAGCTTTGGCTCAAGACCTTTAAAACTGACTGAGCTACAGCAAGTTTTGTGGCTGCGGTGGCCATCTTGGTTTAGATAAGTCCCAAAAAGGTTGTTTATCCAATCATTTTATTATTCTTTCCTTTTAGACCCCAGGTCTCTGGGTTCCAGTAATCGAGCTGGAGGTGGGCCAAATAATAATGCCAAATGAAAATGAACAGAAATGGTTTGAACCCAAGCTGGGCCCGGCTACATTGCACAAAAGCCATAATAAATTGAACTAAAACATCCGTTCCTTCTGTGGTTCAGGAGATATTTTGCTAACAGACAAACAAGGTCGACACCAACAAATAACGGCAAAGTTTTAAATGTAAATCAGAGTTTGTGTTGGGATGACGTTCAGCTACTACCAGACAAAATTATAACTCACCCTAAGGACGAAACGCCCAAACACAGAGCGGTGTGTTCAGTCCAGCGCAGAGAGGATCGTCCAGATCTTTATATTGGAGGAACCAAACTGCTTCTCCACAGACGTGTGGCTCGACGCAGGAGAGCCAGCTCTTCAGGACAAGACTCAGCTGTTCACCTCCACCTCCAGGCTGAGGGACGCTCATTTAAAGAACGAAATGTTCTCATGTTGGACCGAGAAGACAGGTGGTTTCAGAGGAGGGTGAAGGAAGCCATTTATGTCAAAAGAGAGAAACCAACTTTAAACAGAGGAGGTCTCAGATTTTAACTTTCAAAAACTTACAATGCAGCATTGGACCTGATTCCCAGTATCAAGAACTTCATCCATGTGACCAGAGTGGCCCGTCTGAGAGTCAGACTAACAAAGACCCTAACGAACCTCTATTGTGAGGAGTGATGAGGTACATGTGAGGAGGTACATGTGAATCTAGCTTATAGAATGCTTCAACTTGTAACTCAAACCCCACACTCTCCATCCTTTGAATTGAGAAAGCTCCTCGGTTGAGAAGTGAAACATCTTCAGCTACTAAATAAAGTCCAGATGTTTTTGTTTTTAACCGTTTTTTTATATAACTCTTCTTTAAACTGGACTCTAAGAGCAGCAGATAATATTAGCAAACGCAACTAGAAAAATTACATTTCCTGCAAAAATGCAGTGTTAATGCTTATTGCTGAAGAACTCGCTGAGAAACAGCTGAAATTAGCTAAAAACATGCTAAAGAGTAGCTGAAATGGAAGACTAAGCCTACTTTAGATGAAGAATTAATAACATATTTTAACATATTTTCTGAATTAGGTTTAAAGTAGCAGAAATTAGCTCACAAATTAGGAAAATAGCTTAAAATCCCCTGAAATTTGCAACAAAAAAGCTGAAAAGTAGCTGAAAAGGCAGAAAGAAGCTTAAACTACCAGAAGGAGGTGGAAAGAGGTGAAAGGAGATTCAAAAATGGGGAATTAGCTGAAATTATACAATTAGCATAAAACAGCTAAATTGTAGCTGAAAAAGCAGAAAAAGCTGAAATTAGCAGAAAAAAGCTGAAACAAGCATGAGCTGAAATGAGCATATAGAAGTTAATTATTCTGAAAATAGCAGAAATTACCACAAGAAATTGAATTGATCTGAAAACAGCTGAAATTAACTAAAAAATGTTAACAACTTAGCTGAAAGTTAGAACAATCTTTAGCAGAAGAAAGCTTCCTCCTTTAAATTTTAACTTTTTTCCAGCTATCCTGATGCATGCTCAATAATCCAGGTAGAAAAATCCAAAAAAGTTCAATCTGGTCCTCTGGACATTCAAAAAAAACAAAAAACAAAGCAAAAAAATCTAGAAACGTTTCGTCTCTCATCCAAGAGACTTC